GCTTTATCTTTCTCTTTGCAAACCCTTTGTGTTTTGTGTCATTTTACGTATGTTCCAATAAATATAACACTAACGTACACATTTGGTTATTGATCCGTTGTCCCGGAAATCCCACTTATTATAACCGCCATACCCGTGTTTTTTTAAAATTATAACCATATTTAAGTTGACCACGCCCCCTGAAGGAAGCTAGCCCGAGAAAATGCGCAATAGGATCATATTCATCTCCAGAAACGATTATTACACAGTTAATGCTAAACAAGTACATGTTTTAAAAGACTCACCTATTAAGTAGTCTTCAACGTCTAGACCGAAGTCTGAACCCACTGCAAAACAACAATTAGATACAGAATTACTAAATCTCAGTGACTAGGAATGAATGGTAAGTAGTTGACATCATGGCAAAGAAACAGGGAGGAAAAAATAACACAATTTGCATCCACTTATTCTGAGTGACAAAAGACAATTGCGGTATGGCGCATATAGAAGATAAGTAGACAAATTCCCATAAACTATCGACCATACAAGATTACCACAATCCTAAGTTAAATGCGTCTTAGAATTTAAAAAAGCGTTGCAAAAGGTTCGAAAATTTAACTGTCCAAAAGATGCTTAGTTCTCTGATTTAGATGTTAAAACCCCGTGTTATTGGAAATCTACACAAGGCAAGACACTTATATATAAAACAAAGAATTCAATGGCATTTGAGGCTATAAAACCTTTGATTGAATGGAAGCATCTGGCACTTCTAACATATATAGGGCATACTTCAAATTTGAAAGAGTATTAAGACATACACCCAAGTTTTTCCTCAGCCTCTTTGTGCTCGAGAAGGCTTCCTGTTTCTAGCCAGTGCATGAACGTAAGCATCGAAACTACAGTCTGTGTTTCACTCTTCCAATCACCATGATACCTACATTACACAAGAAAAAGGCAAAATTACAAAGACACAAAAAAATAAAACATAAATAAAAGATTAATAGTTCCTCCGAATTTAATCACCTATAGTATTGCCCAGAGCTTCCTCCAAGAACTTCAGCAAGCTCCTTATACTGTTCCTTTAACACATTGACCTGAGACTTGGCCTTCTCTAAAAGCCCTGTTCGAACCCAAAAAATCAAATAT